CTTCCCTAATTCCTGTTTTTCCACACATGGTTACATTTCTTCTCTGCTATATAAACCTTTAATTTTAGTCAGTCAGGAAAATGGATTTGATAATGATCTCCCATATCCTCAGCTGTAGCACCCACTTAGAGCCTTCTTTCTTGGCAATGCTCATTTTATCAGTGATTGGCCTTTAGTTTGGCAAGAAGCAGGACCTAGACCTAACCTCTGGTGCTTCAATAACAGAAGGAGTTCTTGCATAATTATTTTATTTGCTGAGAATAAAAAGAGAAAGGGGTTAGGTTTGGAACCTAAGGTGACGGATATGGACAGAGAGAGAAATAAATGACTATGTATAAAAAAAGAGATGAATAAACATCTATAATATTCTGGTTGAGTATAGAAACAATGGATTTCAAGTCTTAATAATGTTTATATTTTAATTTTGCACTACTTAATAAATGAAGTTAAAAATGGAAGAAAAATTGTCATTTGAATAGATTTAAAGTTTTGTAATTTTGAAATATGTCCGGAAAAAATAAATAAAGGTAAATAAAAGTCCTAGAAAGAGGGTTCTTTGGCCAGGCACAGTGACTCATGCCTGTAAACCCAGCACTTTGGGAGACTGAGGTAGGTGGATCACAAAGTTAGACATTGAAGACCAGCCTGGCCAATATGGTGAAACCCCGTCTCTACTAAAAATATAAAAATTAGCTGGGCATGGTGGCATGCACCTGTAGTCCCAGCTACTTGGGAAGCTGAGGCAAGAGAATTGCTTGAACCCAGGAGGCAGAGGTTGCAGTAAGCCAAGACCATGCCACTGCACTCCAGCATAGGCAACAGAGGAAGACTCCATTAAAAAAAAAAAAAAAAAAAAAAAAAAAAAAAAGGATTTCCAAAGTAGGAGATCATAGGTTTTAGATCTAAAATAGAAAAAAAAAAAGTACCAGGGAGATATGGCTAGACCAAGAGGACATAGAGGGATAAAGGAAATTGAGCCCAAACAAAAAAAAAATCAAAAGAGTAAGAATGAGGAAAAGGAAAGAAGAATATGGGTATGAGGAAAGTGAAGTGTTAGATTTTAAATTTGTAAATGTCTGACAGATGCAATTGATGCCAAGTTTCTGAAATGCCTATTTAATGAGTTACTGAAGCAGAATATTAGTAAATATCATTAAAAATGAAAAATAATTTCTTAAAAGTTTGTTGGCTGCGACAACCAGAATCCAATTGATAGTGGAGGTATGAGAAGCAACAAAATAACAGGAAAATGAGTCAACATAAAAAAGTTCCTTATCAGTAAAAGAATTGTGGTGAAGAAGTGGTTGCATCCAGCAAATGATGAGTGAGGAGAAAAGGAAGGCAATAGCGACAACAACAAAACATCTCATTTTTAGTGTTTTGATTTATTATTTTAATTTTTGTCATGGGTCCTTTCATATTTTATGAATATTTTTCAAAATAATTATTCTTTATTATTCTACATTGTATTAGATATATTTGTTAAAGGACTTTTACAAAACTTTGGAAACTACAAATTTGGCTGTGATTAAAAAAAAAATCCTTATAAAATAAGCGTGGACCCACTGCTGAGAGTCATGAGTATGCTCCTTCTATGGTTAGGAATAACCGACTAGCCATTAAAGCTAGCAATGGCCTCATGTTTACTTCTTTTCGTCTTGTAAAAGGCAATTTTTATGGTGTTGTATATGTTAATTATACCATTTACAATTATTTATCTTCCTTAATTAGTAAAGCTACAAAAATAACTCTAAGTTTAGATTGGTCTTATTGCATATGACTTACAGGAGAGAAAAATATATTGCTGAGAGTTTTGACTTGTGTTGTTATTAGGAAAAGATAAGTAGCAGGAGGCTGTAACCAAATAATATTACTTTCGCACTACACAAATAAGAATGTTCTTACTGCTTAGCGGAGTGTGTTATCACCTTTGTGGGTTTTGCCCAAAAAATAGAGACAAGTGTGCTGACAAACTTTTACTTATGTCTCTTCTTTTAAAAATGCTTTAATTTGCCTTGATAAACAGAAAAAATCTCATAGCAGCTGAACTGAAAATGTCTTTTGAGGACAGATAGATGTGTTTTTTTTTCTGTTATATTTCATTGCATTTGTTTATTGTTTCTTTGTGTTTGATGTGTGTGTGTGTGTGTGTGTGCATGTGTTATAAATTTTCTCTTTATAGAAATTTTAGCAGAGAGATATAGTGTAGGTCATGATGATATTTATAATTAATTGTCAAGATTAAGATGTTAATTTGGAAGGTTGAGATTTTCACTGGACAATTTTCTTTTCCTTTCAAAGTATTTGTATGGTAATTTTTCAGAAGGGCTTAGATTTTCAGAAAACATGTCTCCATTTCTTCAAACCAACCACACTTTCTGGCATAATCAACAATACTTTGAAACCTTTGTCCTCAAATCAGTAGATAGAAATGTTCATGCAAAATTTTGAAAGTATGTATTAATTATCATTGTGTTAAATGATTATTTTTGTATTTTATTGTTTTATATTAATAGAATGGAAAACTAAGTAAACATACTGAAAAGAAATGGTATGTTTTTATCTAATTTATGTAACTATCTAATCTGCTAACTTACATGACCATGCAAGAATTGAGAATTATATTTTACACACAAACCAATGATTAGAAAATTAATGTGATTCTCCAATGAGAAGGGAATTTACATCAGCTTTTTCACTACAACATGTCTCCTAATATTTGGAATATGTCTAACTCTTAGGACTGTAGCAATGGTAGGAATCCAATTCTGAAAATTATTTCTTAAAGAAACTGGCCTAAGAGTCCCATAGACAGTTATTTTGGGATAAACATAGAAATTGGCTCTTCTAATCTTAAAAGCTTGAGTGGGCAGATCAAAAGGTCAAGAGATCGAGACCATCCTGGCCAACATGGTGAAACCCCATCTCTACTAAAAATTAGCTGGGTGTGGTGGCATTCACCTGTAGTCCCAGCTACTTGGGAGGCTGAGGAAGGAGAATCGCTTGAACTGAGGAGGTGGAGGTTGCAGTGAGCCAATATCTTGCCTCTTCACTCTAGCCTAGTGAGAAAGCAAGATTCCGTCTCAAAAAAAAAAAAAAAAAAAAAAGCTTGAAATTTGTATTTGCTTAATATCTGAGTTCCTTCCTCAGGGAAGGACTTTTAGGCCTCTCACACTTAGTATCAACAAACTGAAACCAGATCACCACAGCAGATGCTGGACTCCACATTTACCATGATTATGTCTTTGCCCCTCCCAGGTTCCCGTTTTCTTATACATTGTTACATTTTTTTTTTTTGCCTGCTATATAAACCGCTAGTTTTAGTCAGTTAGGGAGATGGATTTGAGGCTGAGCTCCCATCTTCTTGACTGCAGCACCCTTCTTCCTTGATAATACTTATCATCTCAGTGACTGGCTTTCTGTGTGGTGAGCAGCAGAACCTAGACCAAACCCCTGGTGTTTTGGTAATTCTAATAAAGTATATAAAACCAGCTTCTGGTCTGTACATTTCACAATTGCCAAATTCAGTATGTCATATTGTTCTGTGGTCTACTAAGAAATAATTTAGTGTACACAAATCCCATTGTTCAAATTGCTAGAAAACTTGAGGAATCCATATACATTTCTTCAGTGTTCCAAAACATTAAAAAGATTGATCTTAGGTGAGTCTTGATTTAAAAAAAAATCCATTATTGTTATAATGAACATCTCTTGTTAGAGAGAAAATGTGCTGTAAGAATGAGTGACTGTTTATCTCTTCTGAACAATTACATCAGATTATAAAATTAACCTAGGATTAACATGCCCATTACAAGTTTCAAATGACTCAATTATTCTCAACCATCTTTTACAACATTTATTTATGGATATTTCCCAACATACCAAAATGTTGATAATTTGACAATAAAGACTCATATATACCCAGTACCATTTCTGCCTTAAACATTTCATATACTTGTTCTAACATAGAACTTCCCTGTACACATTTTATTTTTCTTGAGGCAGGGTTTCACTCTGTTACCCTAACTGGAGTGCAGTGGTGCAGTCTTGGCTTACCAAAACTTTTATCTCCCAGGTTCAAGTTATTCTCCTGCCTCAGCCTCCCAAGTAGCTGGGATCACAGGCATGTGCCACCAGGCCCAGCTAATTTTTGTATTTTTGATAGAGACAAGGGTTAACCCAGTTGGCCAGGCTGGTCTCGAACTCCTGACCTCAAATGATCCTCCCACCTTAGACTCCCAAAGTGCTGGGATTACAGCATGAGCCACCATGCCCAGCCCATTCTTTTGTAACTACAGAAGCCATCTTATTTTTTTTATTTATATAGAAAATTGTTTAGTTATCAGTATATTTCCTTCTAAATCTTTTGTTATGCATATCATTAATCAGAGTTCACTATTCTATTTTGTAAACAATGAAATATAAACAAATTTCATAAGCATATGCTGAGTTTTGACAAATGCATAACTAGATAATGCATGTAACCTATACAATCCAAACACCATATGGAACACAGACCATTAGTATCATCCCAGAATGATTGTCCATGACAATGTCTAGTAACATTTTGCCTCCATCTCACCATATACTACAATGAACTGATTCATTTTTTACTGATGGGGTTCAGGACTCATTATGCTAAAATATGACTGGTCATATTGTGAAGAACAGAATTTGCTAACCCAAAATATGTCTTTTCGGCATAAAGACTATTTTGAATTGGTTATTTTAAGAAATGCAGATACATAAAAAGCTCAAAAATGTTACCCTTTTGTAAGAAAAATTTAAACCTATAAAAGAAATCTCCATTTGTAAGAGTATTTCCTTCCCTGCTCCACAAAGAGAAGGATGACTAAATTACTGGACAGTTTTAATCAATGCAAACGGTATTTTAAATCCTAAATTAAAGGCTTGAATCTGCAAGACAAACCTTACTATTATAACACAATGCTTTTACTAGCCATTTTGCCTTAAGTAGGCCTTTTTCCAAACCCTGCTTCAGAAAATGATAGTATTTAAGCCTGAAGCAAAGCTACTTACTTCTTTGAGATCCCCTCTAGAGATGTGCTCATTTCTCCGGGCACCTCCCATATACACAGGAAGAATGAATGTTATAAAACTTCTGTTTGTTTTTCTTTTATTAATCTTTCATTACAGGAGTCTGTCCCTACTAAAAAGTATAGAAGATTGAGGGTCTGTGTCAAGGAACAAAAGTTTCTCTTCCGGAATCCACAAGGGGCATGGTTTAAAGGCAGGAATTTCCCAGTGCCACACCTCCATCCATGCCTCCATTGAGGAACCTAGAGTTCTTTGTCTGACTTTCCTGGGCGGGCCAGGTGGAAAATCCAGGAGAGATTCTTTGTTCAAAAAGCCTAGGAAGAGCTCTAGGAGGAGAAGGCTCTGTTAGGGCCCAGCAGCCAATCAGCAGCCAATCCAGTATCAGAGTCAAAGATCAATTACTCCAGGGGAAGTTTGGAAGAACTCCTCTCTCTCTCCTCTCTCCCTCCCCCACCCATCCCTCCCCTGCCTAATAAATAACTTCTCTGCTAAACTCTTTGGGTCCACAGTACTTATTTGAATGGTAAGCTCAATGGGCCTCCAGGGCCCCTTCCCCATTCCTGGGGTAAGAGAGATCAAGGACCTGGGCACCTCCGATAGGGAAACTGGGAGCCCCGCTCCCTCCCCCCCACTACCATATATTAATTTTGTCTGTATTAAGAGTTTCATATTATAGCACATACTCTTGTGTAGGGCTTCTTTCATGAAGCATAATGCCTTTTTTTCCTTTTCATCATAGTAGTTTTTGTTTCTTCTACCAATTAGATTATGTTACTTTTATTAACCTAAATTAATGAGAATAAGTTTATCTTCTCTATGGATAAACAGAGCATTTGGTTTTATCTCAGTGAAGAGACACTGTTGCTGGCCTATTCATTTCTAAAGTTCTTCAGTTTAATATTCTTTCATTTTTTCATAATTAGAGCCTTCACTCTACTCATTTGCAATCACCGATTCTACAATTACATACATTGATTTAGCTTTTCAGTCTATCTCTTCTTTTCCCACACTTTCTCATCCTCCCTTTCTCTCTAAAGCACAGATTGTTCTTTCTAGTTACCCTCTCTTCTGACTCTAAAGTAAAACATGCCTGAGATTACATAAAAGTAAAAACATATTCTTTGAAATGAAATTTGTTTTGTAAGTTTTGAAACTTGGGAAACTTTTAAAAATTATTTTTATACTTTAAAATAGATGCTTAACGAAACCCCTGTTAACAGAATCTGTTTTACTGTAATCAACTGAAGGGTTCTTTGTGCCCACTATGCAGATGAAATCAATTCACTGAGACTGTGGCATTGCAGTAAGAAGAGTTTAATTGACATGAGGTTGGCCATTAAGGAGTGATTATTCAAATCAATATCCCCAATGTTGGAGGTTAGGGCTTTTCAAGGATCATTTGGTATACAGGGGGCTTGGGAATGAGAAATGTTAATTGGTTGGGTATGAAATTTTAGGGGTGTGGAAAATGGTCCTCATGTGCTGTATCAGCCTCTGGGCAGGGTCAACAGGATTGGTTGAGTCACAGGGTGACTGGGTGGAGTCAGTCAGTTGTCAGAAATGCAAAAATCTGAAAGAAACATCTCAAAAGTCCAATCTTATGTTCTGAAATAGTGAGGCTATCTACAGGAGTAATTAGAGAAGTTACAAATTTTGTAACTTCCGGAACAGGTTGGCTGATTATTGTTTTACTAGGCCTACATCTTAGCAGAATGATTTTCATTACTGTTACAAAGGCAGATTAGTTTTGGGAAGGACTATTATCATCATTGCTTTAAACTATAAACGAAATTCCTCCCAAAGTTAGCTTGGCATATGCCCAGGAATGACCAAGGAGAGCTTAGAGAGGGAGCAAGATGAAGTCAACTATGTCAGATTTCTCTGTCATAATTTTGCACAGACGGTTTCATTAGTACAGGCTAGAAATAGATGCTGTTGGTACCTACTCAGACCCCATTTACTTCGCAGGTTCCCACATTCTTCGGCTGGTATGAATATTGGCTGCTGAGAGTTCACAGCTGCACTCGTGGCTGGAGAGTTTCCCAGGACCATTGGGCACAGTCTGACGTAGAAATTCATGGGAGCTACAACCTTTCCAGACACTATCACAGCCAATTACTTGCATACAGAAGGCTGGTCCTCTTACATCAAGTGGAAGCAATTCTAAGATGCCATTCACATATGCAGCTCCCCACAGGATCAAGTTGAGACTTCAACTGAAACAAAATTTCGCATAGCTTTTCCCATCACTCACTCCTGCTTCCTTCCCTTTGTCACAGCACTCTCCTGAGGGCATGCCCTCAATAAGTCACTTTTAAATGAATCTCATTCAAAGCCTTTACTTCTGGGGGAACCCAAACTAAGATAGCTTCACTCCTCTTTTATCTCTCTGTGCTCCATGATGAGTCACTGGTTAATGAGAATGGATTAGTTAATATGTGTGCTCTTTTGGGGTAGTATAATCTTTTAACTCTTTAATAATTTTTCATGGAATGAATACTTCAAATTTTTAAATGTTAAGATGCTACAGGGGCCAAGGGAAAGTTTTCCCTTAATGCTGAGAGTTCACCGAAAAATCAACTGACAAGAGGCAGATTAATTGGAGAAAAGACACAAAATTGATTAATGTGAACACGTGAGAACCACAGAGTGATTACTCCCACTTCCCAATGCGGTACAGAAACTTATATGCCATTTTTGGGATTACACAAAGGATGAGGGTTCCCAGAATGGACAAAAGTAGGTTATGGTGGTAAATCAGGTTATGATGGCAAGACAGGTAATGGGAGAGAGACCAAAGGAAGCCAGGCTAATAAAGGTGATTTGTTATTTAAGTGAACCTCACAGGTAGCAACCCTCAAGAGAGTGGATGGTAACTGTGTCTTTCAGACTTTTAGAGGGGTCAGACTCAGTTAAACCTTTCTGGATCAGACAAGGGAAGACCTTCAGAGAAAGTCTAGCTACATCAAATGCAAATATTCTCTTACAAATGCAAATCTCCCTAACAAAAGACAGCTTTGCAGGACTACTGTTTGCTGTCACTCTGAAAACCCATCTCAAAATATGTCAAAGAAGTATATATTGTGAGGTAAATTATTTTAATTTCCTTCAATGTATATATCTTTTTTTTTCAATTTTCATTGTCACTGTGTTATTACCTTGCTTTAACAATTTTGATATTTGCTTTTTATCTCCTTTTTGATTGCATTTGACAAATTTTTTTCATTTTGTTACTTAGTTCTCTATTTTTAACTTTAAAGTTATCCTATGTTTATTTCTTTATTAAAAAATTACTTTAATTTTTTCTTTTTCTTTTTCATGCATATTTAAAATTTACTTATAATTTTTGGATTCAGTTTCCAATATGTTTAAATTAATGCTTATTTTCTCATGTATTACTGAAAATATTAATGCTATGATTTTACTTTTTAGTAGAGTGTGGCTCTCTTCTATATATTTCATATTGTCAGAGGCATTTGAACCAAAGCAACTTCATCTCGAGTGAGGGCTATGAAAAGTGAAGCTGGGACTTGTTGGGCTGTTTTCCCAGGAGGTAAGTTATTAGTAGCCTCTAGATATTTACAGTTAAAGCAACAGATTAATAATGTTTACTAAACAGACCAAGACTCAGGAATGTCCTGATATCCCAATATCTTCAGAACAAAAGCATTCCTGATTTTACTTTAAAGATAATATCAATTCTTGCAAAATATAGTAATTAAGAAAATTAACCCTTTATCGCAAAGCTTTGTAGTAGAGCACATCTCCCCATGATTTGTTGCTGTTGTTGTTGTCCCACATACAAACAGGCATTGTACCTTAGGGTGGGCATTACTATTCTTACTTTTGGGAATGCCCTACTCTGTCTATAAAGTAGCTATTTTTTCACCACTTAACTTTCTTAACAAACTTGCTTTTGCTTTGCACTGTGGACACATGCTAAATTCTTTCCTGTGTGAGATCCAGGAACCCTCTTTTTGGGTCTCCATCAGGACCCATTTCTGGTATCAAGAATGTTTTTCCTAATTTTATTTCTTAAAATTTCTAATATTAAATACCTTTTATGGAAGAAACAAGAGATTTACTCATTTAAATTTGGAAAAGTAGTGTGCAATTTTTTCTTTGTTTTATTTAGCTTTAATGGAACTAATTTATTGCATGACTACTGTGTTTCATGTACTATACTAAGATGTAATTAGGAAATAAGACTTCTCAAAGTAGAAAGTAGATATAAAAAATCAATTTTGTTAAATTACTGTATCTTTGTTAGAATCAGTAGCTTCTTTATGTATGCATGTATGTATGTATGTATTTGCTACATTTATTGTTATATTTTTCTGATTACTGAGCCTATAACACATAGTAATGACACAGACAGGAGACAAGGAAATACTGAGTAGATGAGTGTGGTTCTCTAGCAAAGGCCCTACCCTCACACCTGGAGACCCACGGCCCTAACTGAAGACAGGAATTTCTGTTTTCACGCCCAAATAGTTTACTTTTGGCCACCACACCCCCCATCTTTCCCCTATATAAACCAGAGACCTTAGCGGGCACACACACAAGAAAGCTGAATGTCAAGACCAGCAGACCAGCAAACCAGCAGCAGCCCAGCAGATGAGTGGTGGTGGAACAATGCAGCACAGAAAGAGAGAAGAGGAGGGACATCTAAACACTGACAGGAGGTCAGCTGAGGCTGGCTGGAGAAGAGTCTGGCCATTGGGACCCACTCCATCTCCACTTCCAGCTCCCCATCCATCTCACTGAGAGTCACCTCTACCACTCAATAAAACCTCACACTCATCCTTCTAGCCTGAGTGAGATCTGACTCTTTTGGGACACTGGGCAAGAGCTTGGGATACAGAAGACCATCACACTGGTCCCCGTCCTTGTGATAAGGCAGAGGGTCCATTGAGCAGGTTACTTGAGGATATTGGAGGGGAGGGTTGGTCAATGCAGTTAGACCATTTGTGTTTGTTAATTGTTGCTTATTGAAATTAGGCTTCAACCCTCCCCTAGACATCACGAGACTGGGATGAAATCTCTTTAGATTATTATATTTAAAAGAGATGACCACCAGGTCCTTCAGTAAGGCATTTCTGAGTTGTAAAACTGGCAAGAGGCTGAGAGAAGATTTATATCTCAAAGGGACAGAGAATTTACAGTTGGATCTTTTCTAAAATAAATGCTCAGATAAAGGGGAGGTCAGAGGCCTACAGTCAAATAATTCTGTCTAAAAGTTTAAGTTGAGGGGGACTAAGGCCATCTTGGTTAGCCTTTCCTCTAATTTTTAGGCAGTCAGGTTCTTTTAGGAGTAAGAAACGTCTTTTGAGTTGACCCTCGGGTATTATTTTTAATCTGATAGCAACTGTCCTGTCACTGCAGAAACCCCAATTTATGATGAGTAGAGGGCACCCACTTTTGATTTCCAGAGCTCTGGCAGGTTTCTTCCTAGTTTCATACTATGACATTTCATGGAAGGGACATGTGGGAGCATAAGGGTAAGCCAGAGGTACTGTCTTTTTATTTAACTGGCCATGAATGGCATGTTTTAAGTAATGGTTGGAAATCAAGTACAAACCTCTCATTTTATAAATGAGGAAATTAAAACCTAGAGAATGTAAGTAGCTTTCTTGAGATTCTAAAACCAGTTAAGAAAGTAAGTGGAATGTTAATATTATCTTCAAAACCTTTATTACTTTTGAAGAAATAATAGCTTACCTCTATTGCTGCTTTCAGTTAACATGAAAAATTACCTCTTCAACAGACTTTCATTTTCCCTTCCCTTCTTGAACTGTATTCTGATATTTATTTTTAACCAATTAAAATATTACTATAAAATAATTCTTATTTTTCTTCTTTTACATAAAGTTAATAATTGAACTACTTGTTTTGCTACGAACATGCACTTGTTGCTTTTGCCTGAGAACCAGTAGTTACAAGAAGTTTTGAATAATTTGGAAAATGTGTGGCTTAACAAGAAAGCATTTTTATATTATGTAATAATTTTAACATGCTCTTATTAACAGCACATTTTTTGGATGTATTTCAGAGAAGTGGTTTAGTAAAGTGCCATTGCTTCTAATAATTTCATGCTAAACATGTATTATGAATCAATTACATAAGATTTAGTCAATTATGCTATTAAAAGATACTTTTAATAGGATAATTTATGTAATTAATTATATTAGGTACCTTACAACATATAACAAGTAGATTTCTAGAGCAGGAAAGAATACTTGAAAATCATAAATCAAAAATAAAGTTGTAATTCCCCCAACCAACTGATTGGGCACCTCATCTCAGCCAAGGACATTGCCTAGTTAAACTGAGAAACTAGTTCAGTCGATGATGGGAAGTGAAGGTTAGACATGCCTCATTATACCCTTGTCACTTTGGAATTCAGGCACAACTGACCAGCATTAACATTAAAACAGAGACTTTAAGACGAACAAAACAGACTCTTTGTAGCAATAAGATACCAACAGGACAGCAGGCCCTGCAAGCAATCAAAGTATTTTACCCCAAAATATATTTATTTGACATATTTTGAAAAGGTCTGCAAATATGTCTCTTGTGGGAAAAATTTACATTTTGTAGAGAATACTCCCCCCCACCATTTTTTTTCCAGGTTTCTTCTCTGATCCAGAAGAGAATTAACTAAGAGTCTGTCATTTTTTAAAGTCTTATATGAAATATTTATGATCTGTTCTCTCTGAAGCCAGCTACCTCAAGGCTTTATCTCCATAATAAGACCCTTGATCTCCACAACCCCTTATCTTAACCCAGACATTCACTTCTATTGATTCTAGGTTTTTAGATAGATTCTTAACTCTGTGAATCAAATTTCACCCAATTGTCAATCAGAAAATCTTTGAATCTACCTATAACCTGAAGACTGATCCTCACACCATCCTCACCCTGCTTCAAGTTATTGTCCTGAACCAATGTACACCTTACGTGTATCATTAGATAGCTTATGTCTCCCTAAAACACATAAAACCAAGTTGCAATCACACCATTTTTGGCATATATTCTCAGGATCTCCTGGGGCTGTCTCACTGGCCATTGCCACACATATTTGCCTCAGAATAAATCTCTTCAAATATTTTATAGAATTTGGCTCTTTTCATTGACAAAATATATCTAGACTTCATAGGAATGCATTAATATCAAGAGTTATCTGTATTAGTTTGTTCTCATACTGCTGATAAAGACATACCTGAGTCTGAGTAATATACAAAAGAAAGAGGTTTAATGCACTCCCAGTTATACATGGCTGGGGAGGCCTCACAATCCTGGCAGAAGGCAAAGAGGAACAAGTCACATCTTAAGTGAATGGCAGCAGGCAAAGAAAGAGCTTATGCAGGGAAACTCCAATTTTAAAAACCATCAGATCTTGTGAGATTCATTCACTATCATGAGAACAGCCCAGGAAAGATCTGCCCCTGTAATTCAATCACCTCCTATTGGATGTGGGAACTGTGGGAGTTACAATTCAAAATGAGATTTGGGTGGGGACACAACCAAATTATGTCATTCCACCCCTCACCCCTCCCAAATATCATGTCCTCACATTTCAAAACCAAACATGCCTTCCCAACAGTCCTCCAAAGCCTTAACTCATTTCAGCATTAACTCAAAAGTCCACGGTCCAAACATCTCATCTGAGACCAGGAAAGTGCCTTCTGCCTATGAGCCTGTAAAATCAAAAGCAAGTTAGTCATTTCCCAGATACAATGGGGGTACAGGCATTGAGTAAATACAGCCATTACAAATGGGAGATATTGGCCAAAACAAATGGGTTACTGGCCCCATAAAAGTTCAAAATCAAGCAGGACAGTTAAGTCTTAAAGTTCCAAAATGATCTTTGAATCCATGTCTCACATCTAGATCATGCTGATGCAAGAGGTGGGTTCTCCTAGTCTCAGGAAGCTGGGTCCCTGTGGCTTTGCACGGTATAGCTTCCCTCCCAGCTGCTTTCATGGGCTGGCGTTTAGTGTCTGCAGCCTTTCCAGGAACATGGTGCAAGCTTTCAGTGGATCTACCATTCTGGAGCCTGGAAGACAGCAGATCTCATCTCACAACTCCACTAGACAGTGCCCCAGTAAAGACTTTGTGTGGAAGCTTCGATCCCACATTTTGCTTCCTCACTGCCCTAGCAGAGTTTCTCCATGAAGGCCCTGCCGCTGTAGCAAACTTCTGCCTGGGCATCCAGGTGTTTCCATACATCCTCTGAAATCTAGGTGGAGGTTCTCAAACTTCAATTATTGACTTCTGTGAACCCACAAGCTCAATATTACATGGAAGCTGCGAAGGCTTGGGGCTTCCATCCTTTGAAGCAACAGCCTGAGCTGCACCTTTTAGTCATAGCGGGAGCATCTGGAATGCAGGACGCCACATCCCTAGACTGCACACAGCAGAGAGAACCTGGTGGTCCACAAAACAATTTTTTTCTCCTAAACCTCTGGGCCTGTGATAGAGGGGCTGCCACAATGGTCTCTCACATGCCCTGGAGACATTTTCCCCATTGTCTTGGTAATTAATATTCTGCTCCTTGTTATTGATGTAAATTTCCACAACCAGCTTGAATTTCTTCTTAGAAAATGGGATTTCCTTTCTAGTCCCTTGTCAGGCTGCAAATTATACAAACTTTTGCACTCTGTTTCTTTTTTAAAACTGAATGCTTATAGTAGCACCCAGGTCACATCTTGAATGCTTTGCCACTTAGAAATTTTTTCCAGAAAATATCCTAAATCATGTCTCTTAAGTTCAAAGTTCCATAAATCTCCAGAGCGGGGGCAAAATACCACCAGTCTTTTGCTCCAGTTCCCAAAAAGTTTCTCATCTCCATGTGAGACCACCTTAGCCCAGCCCTTACTAACAGCATTTTGGGCGAAGCCATTCAACAAGTCTCTAGGAAGTTCCAAACATTCCCATATATTCTTGTCTTCTTCTGAGCCCTCCAAACTATTCCAACCTCTGCCTATTATCCAGTTCCAAAGCTGCAACCATATTTATGGGTATCTTTTCAGGAGTTCCCCAATCTACTGTTACAAATTTACTGTATTAGTCCTTCTCATGCTGCTCATAAAGACATACCTGAGACTGGGTAATTTAAAAAAGAAAGAGGTTTAATACTCTCACAGTTCCACTTTGCTAAGGAGGTCTCAAAGTCATGGCAAAAGGCATGGAGGAGCAAGTCACATCTTACATGGATGGCCTCAGGCAAAGAAAAAGTTTGTGCAGGGAAACTCCAGTTTCTAAAACCATTAGACCTCATGAAACTCATTCACTATCATGAGAACAACACAGCAAAGACCTGCCCCCATAATTCAGTCACCTACCACCAGGTTTCTCCCATAACACAAGGGAGTTATGGGAGCTACAATTCAAGATGTAATTTGGGTGAAGACACAGCCAAGCCATGTCATTATCCTTGGAAGTTTTTTTAATAAAAACAATCTCCATAAATATCAGTTTCACAATATATATTTATTTAAAGAAAATTTTAACCTTTCTTTTTACTATATTGTAGAAAAACAAAAAGCTTGGAAAGAACCACAAGCTCCTTGAATTACTGTAGCCTTTTTGAATTCTTCTCTAGTCTTGCCTTCAATTTGTGATATGTTTTAAAATGGCAATTTGGTATTATTGACACACAGATTTTATAAGATTAGATCCCTGAACTCACACATGTTAACATTATTATTATTTTTGCCATATGGCTAATAGGATAAATATTAGCTACACTATACAAAGTGTTAAACTTGTCTCAGACTGAGAAAATACGATTGAATAGACTATTCATTTTCATCTAAGAAAATTTTATCCTGGATTAGCTCTTAGATAGCATGTTGTGCAGAATTGAATTTTATATGGGGTTTTCATATCACCAATAAACTATGAAAGAGATTAGATTAGAAGAGAATGAGACATATTTCATGTCAAAAATAAATTGGAATTGATTTTCAAACTTTGCCTGAAATAAAAAAAGGAACAGAAAAGGTTTTTTTGTGAAGTAAGCTACACCAGCAAATTTAAGTAAAATTATTTAGATATTCAAGTTTTAAATGTTATATAAATGGATATCTTACAAGTATATGTAATGTTAATATGTGCCTGTTTTTTTGGAAGTATGCTTGTATATCTTTGTATATGTGTGTATTTATTTGTTTATTTTACTTGTTTCACATTGTTCTTAATGACTCGAGATGTTTTTAAAATTACAAATAGATATGGTTAAATTGTCTTTTACTAACAGTTCAACATTAAGAATTAGTTGAAATTTAATCTTTACTTAGGTCTTTTATTTATGTTGATAACTTTGACATTTATCCTGATAGAATAATATAAATGAAATCAGTCTTTTTTGTAACAGCAATTCAATCTCGTAGTAAATTTTTATCATTTCATATTGCCTCAACATCAATTTTGAATAAAAGTTTAACTTTCTCATAACAGAAGCAGGGTTTAGCCACCCTTGACACAATTTCTAGTTCTACACCAAACCTAAATGGCATATCATGTGGCCAGAGATAACTCCTGCATATCAGATTGTGCTCCTACTTTCCCTCTGCACCAGAGCAATGGTCAGACAGGCATGGGTCAGCAATGGGTAAGAAAAGAGCCATAAGAGTGTTTGCCAGTATGAACAAGTTCCACATGTGGGCCACCCTGGTGATGGGTGGGAGAGCTAGGGATTAGGCTGCTGTCGGATAAAAGAACTATCTTACTGAGGTAGGAGGTGGAACTCTACTCTAGAAGCTGGGTTCAACTCCAGACCAGTTTGAAGATGGACATGCCTACCAGCACTGTGACTGTTTACCCATTGTCTGTCAATGACCCAGAAGTTACAACCCTTTTTAGGAATTTCTGAACAACTTGTGCCTTGATGTGCATGCAATTAAATGTGGATATAAATGTGATTGCAGAATTGCCCCTGAGCTGCTACTATTGATGCACTGTCTATGGGGTAGCCTGGCACTTCGAGAGCAGTCATGGAGCTGCAACACTGCCACCAAAATAAAGCTTTCTTCTACCACCTGCTCACTCTTGAATTCCTTCATGGAGGAAGCCAAGAAATTTTACAGGTGGAGCCCCAAAATCGGAGCTCCCTTTTCCTGCCACACTGTGAGAGACATACTGTAAATATTCATGTCCAGGTCCCTTAAGTTCTGATTAGGGCAAGGTTGATAACGCCTCTGGTACTAGAACCTCAATTTAGCTGCTGGAGGCTCCCAAGACAATCCTATATCATCAGATGGAAAATAGCAAGCTTATACTATAGAAAGAAATTATTAACATTTGATCAAAGGATGACTAAAACATGAATAGCTACTATTATGTTTATTAAATACACTTTGTATTGAATCATCCACAATTTCTGTAATTTTTCTCATTTTCCCATTAGACCATAGTTCCATATTTAATATAAGCTTTTCTTCCTACTATCCATAGCCCAAAATTATTTAAAAACATATATTGATAAAGTAATTTATCTCTAATATAATACATTAAGGAATATTCCTGAGGAAGGTAGAAAGATTAAAACACTGTAGTAAAATGATAAAATGTATTCAATATATTCTACACTTTATATCAAAATTTTAACATATACTCAAATTTTTTAAAAGAATAAAACATTTTAAAGTTTTAAAAGTTTTTCATATTAAAATATATACAATTCTCTCTTATACAAATAATAAAATATTTGTTTCTTTACCTATGAAAACATGTTCACCTCAACAATGCTTCACATTTTTTCCTCTTATAAGAGAATGATAAAAGATGTCTTAAATGTCTGAAATATTTTTAAATGAATCATGGTTATTTGTTAATTTATAAATGTATGTATCTAGCAAACTGATTTTTATAATAAATGGTTTAGTTTATGCTTTATTGGCTACTTAAATACTTCTAATAATTTTATGTTGGTAGTGATAATTGTGCAGTAAAAAATGCCAGTTTGATGGTTTCCACAATCTTTTAAAGAAAAATGCATGAAATAAAATAAAATTGTGTATTTCTACATTTATAAATAACTACTGAGCAGCCAGAGAGAAAGGTTGGGTTACCCACAAAGGGAAGCCCATAAGACTAACAGCAGATCTCTGTGCAGAAACCCTGCAGGTCAGAAGAGACTGGGGACCAATATTCAACATTCTTAAAGAAAATAATTTTTACCCAGAATTTCATATCCAGCTAAAGTAAGCTTCATAAGCAAAGGAGAAATAAAATCCTTTACAGATAAGCAAATGCTGAAAGATTTTGCCATCACCAGGCCTGCCTTACAAGAGTTCCTGAAGGAAGTGCTAAATATGGAAAGGAAAAACTGGTACCAGCCACTGCAAAAATATACCAAATTGTAAAGACCATTGACACTATGAAGAAACTGCATCAATTAACAGTCAAAATAACCAGCTAGTATCATAATGACAGGATAAAATTCACACATAACAATATTATCTTTAAACGTAAATGGGCTGAATGCCCCAATTAAAAGACACAGACTGGCAAATTGGATAGTCAAGACCCATGGGTGTGCTGTATTCAGAAGACCCATGGGTGTGCTGTATTCAGGAGACCCATCTCACGTGCAAAGAAACACATAGGCTCAACATAAAGAGATGGAGAAATATTTACCAAGCATATGGAAAAAAAAAAAAAAAGCAGGCATTTCAATCCTCGTCTCTGATAAAATAGACTTTAAACTAACAAAGATTTAAAAAGACAAAGAAGGGCATTATACACTTGATCTTAGCCAAAAGGCAGAGAAGTAATAGAAGGGCATTATATAATGACAAAGAGATAAACACAACAAGAAGAGCTAACTATCCGAAATATATATACACCCAGCACAGGAGCACCCAGATTCATAAAGCAAGTTCTTAGAGACCTACAAAGTGACTTAGCCTCCCATACAATAATACTGAGAGACTTTAATACCCCACTGTCAATATTAGACAGATCAATGAGACAGAAAATTCACAAGGGTATTCAGGACTTGAATTCAGCACTGGATTAAGTAGACCTAAAAGACATCTACAGAACTCTCCACCCCAAATCAACAGAATATACATTGTTCTCAGCACCACATCACACTTATTCTAAAATTGACCACATAATTGGAAGTGAAACACTCTCTAGCAAATGCACAAAATGGAAATCATAACAAACAGTCTTTCAGACTACAGTGAAATCAAATTAGAACTCAGGATTAAGAAGCTGAGTTGAAACTGCACAACTACATGGAAACTGAACGACTTGCTTCTGAATGACTACTATGTGTAATAACTACCCAAGTGAAAACAAGAATAATAAAATAAATTTCATTGTCTATTTTAGCATCTGTTTAGAATTTAACACCATTTTGCACTAATTGCCTAATATTTTTATTATGAAATTATTACAATCTAGAAAATTAACATAAAACTTCAAGCAATTAAATTAAATTTATTATCTAATCACCAGCTCTCAAATACCTTAATTTGAGATCATTCATTTTAGATTATTTTATATTATTACAACTATCTAAAAATATGATTTTTATTATCTTTGTTTTATTTAATTTACATCTTCTTACCAGTACAATTTTTATTGATTAGCCAATATGAAAAATCACACCATAGAATAACAAGTTCTTTTACTGACATTTATTTTTTAATTAAAAATTATTTAGCTAAATAATATTGAACATTTCCTTGCAGGGAAAATAGGAAAAACTGGACATTTTTTCATGTTAGATTGTTAGTGACTGTAACAGTGTTAATAATAAAACATTGCTGAATTGAAGGACATTGATATAAACTAGCCCAGTTCACTTGGCTTATAAAAGTGTAATGGTATTTAATATTCAAATCTCAAGGTACTATCAAGATTACCCATTCTATATATTCTTATTCTTTCCACAAACATAAATCTATGATGATATTTTTGTTCTTTAGATTTCCTTAAATGCACTATCTTCCAGAGCAGAAGTTGTCATTCTCACTCCTATTGCTGAAACAAAAAATAAACATAACTATACTCCAAATACATTTCTTCAAAACTATTTTTGACGGTTTTTATTAAATAATTTCCTAATTCCCTCCTTTCTCTTCCAAAATATATTCTGCTTGTTTAAAAAAATCTTCTCATCTTCTCCCTCACAAGCAAATCCAGCCTCCAAAACCTTCTTGCTTTTCACAACATCCAAACATCTTTTTTGCATATCATATAAAAAAGTTATATCTTTAAATTTTATTTTAAAAAACTTTATGTGAAGTTGCAAAGAATCAGAGTTCCATGCAAACTCTCCCACTATTCTATAATGTTATCTGCTTATATAAGTGTAGTATAAGGTAAGAAAATAAACAGAAAGAAATTTACACTGTTGCAATCTATAGAGCTTATTCAGATTTCACTGGTTAAATATACATTTATTTGTGTGTGTGTGTGTGTGTGTGTGTGTGTGTGTGTACTTATGTAGCTCCACGCAATTTTAACTCATCTATTTTTGTGTTCTTATTGCCACAATCAACATAAACATATAATTACCACAAGTCTCCCTTGCGTTATTGTTTTATAATTGCATCCATCCCCTCCACTACCCCATCCAAGTCCTCACAACAATTAATCTCTATCTCGATATTTGTTATTTCATAAATGTTATGTAAATGAAATCATGCCGTATATATTAAATATCATTTTGAGATTGGCTTTTTAAAAATTCTAGGTTCATCCAAATGTTGCAGGGAACCAATAATTCATTCCTTTTTATTATTTTATAGTATTCCATAATATGGATATGAGGGACTGTGTTAAAGAAACTTCTCTTCCTGGATCATTGAGGGACGTGGTTTCAAATGCAGGAATTTCCTTTGAACACCTCCTCCAGGCCTCCATCTGGAGACCAGAGGGGTTTCAAATGCAGGAATTTCCTGGCTCCCTGCCTTAGGGGCTGGGGCTCTCCTACAAGAGGGCCAGGTAAAATTCTTTTTCTGATCTTCCCCCATTCGGGAAAGCCAGGTGGGGCTCTTTTGTCCCTCTGGGAGGAGGGGGCTCTGTAACTCAGGGTTTTAGAATAAGTAGCCAATTCGGTATCAGAGTCAAAGATCAATCACTCTAGAGGAAGTTTAAAAGAACTCGTCTCATTGGACAAGAACATGAATGAGCCCTCAACACCAGGGTTTGTAAAACAAAAAACAAACAAACAAAAAGATTAAAAAAAAAAAAAAAAGAACATGAATAAGGAGGGAATAACTCAAGGGTTAAAACTTCAGCGGCTCCTACCTGAATGGATTCCCCTCTCTGGGTTCCTCTCCCACAACCATGTGGGAGCTGTCTTCTCTCATTCTCTCTCTCTAATGAATTGCTCTTCTGCAAAACTCTTTGAGTCCACAATATTTATTCAAACGGCAAGCTCACTGAGGCTCCAGGGCCCCTTCCCCCTTCTTCAGGGTTACAGAGGCCAAGAACCTACAAGCTCTCAGCCCCCAGAAACAGATGTACATGTTTGTTTAACCATTTATCTACTCAAAGATGTAAGGTGCTATGAATTTGACTAGCTGCTACAGTGATAGTGTCATCTCACACTTCTTCCAGCAATTTATGAGTAAGTTTATTTCTCCACATCAACGCCCACAATTGGTGTTACTATTTTTTATTGTAATCATTGTGATGGTGGGTTGTGGTATCTCATAGCGGACTTAATTTGCATTTCTATAATGGAAAATGATAGAACATCTTTTTGTTGAAAAAATGTTGAACATCTTTTCATGTGCTTATTTGCCACCTGTATATTCTCTTCAGTGAAAGGTCTCCACATGTTTTCTTTTAGCACAATTCTAATTGGTTTATTAAGTTTTGAGAATAAGTAGGATATATTAATAATTTTGAGGCTAGTATATATATTTGAGAATAATTATGTATTCTGTATGCAAGGCATTTGTCAAATACTGAAGCATCCTCGTTGTCTGGGGTAAATACTAAGGTTCTTGGTCTCGTGGCCGAGGAAGTTGAGGTTGTGGAAACACACACACAGGGTGACATTGAGATTTGAGTAGGAGTTTAAAAGGCAAGAGAAAAGACTAGCTCTCTATCACAGAGAGGGTTCCTGAGCAGGTTGCCAAGGTGTAGTAAAAATGTCAGGGTTTTAAAAAATGGGCTAGTGAGGAAGGGGTATCTTAACTTCCTAAGGTCAGAAGATTTAGCTGGGATCAGGTGTGCCGTCTGTATAGATGAAGAGAGCAGAGTTTTCTATGGGATCTCACCCCATTCCTTGATCACATAGGCAGATTCTTAGTCTGTGCCACTTTGTTTTGCTTATCTGTGAGGGACACTTTCTGTGTCTGTTCCCAGACATCTTCTTTCAGCTGCAGGCATCTCTCCGCCCTTCACTTCCGCCAGCATCCACTTCTAGCTTCCCTATCTTAGTGTGCCGAAAGGGAAAGGAATATGCTTATTAAGGCCCACTGTTTTTGCTGGGGCCCATTGTATGAGTGTAAAGTTTGGTGATTATGCAGGAGACTCCCCTCCTCCTCTGTGCCTGAGTTTATCTGTGTTTTACAGCCTCATCTTCCATGCTGCTCTTTGTTAGAAGAAAACTTTTTTTGAACTACATGAAGTTAGAAAGGGAGCTATTTCTGAACTGCTTTTTGTTAGAACCAGGGACTCTCTTTACCCTGTCTGCCTAAATAATTTCCTTCTGTCTCCTATAACAATATGTAATTTGTAAATATTTTCTCTCAGTCTTTAATTTTGGAATGTAAATGTCTCTTCATCCTTTTAACAGGATCTTTCATAGAGCAAAAGGTGTTCCTGTGGATGAGGTCCAATTTATCAATATTTACCTTTATAAATTGTGCTTTTGATGTCAAATCTAAGAACTCAGTGCTAGGTGTCAAAGATTTTCTCTTATGTTCTTTTTTATAGGTTTCAGTTTTATGTTGTACTTTTAAGCCCATGTTCCATTTTGAGTTAATTTTCGTGTGAGGTATGAGGTTTAGGACTGAGTTCAATTTTTTGCTGATGGATCCCCAATGCTTCAGCACCATTTGCTGAAAAGGTTAACCCTCATTAATATCACCTTTGCTTCTTTTTAAAAAATCAATTAGCTATATATATTCGGATCTGTTTTCTGGGTTCTATATACTGTTGCATTTATTCTCTGCCGGAATCAAACTTCCTTGGTTATTGTGGCTATATGCTAAATATTATCAGAAAGA